AGCGAGTTCCTGCTCAGTATTGCCCTGGCGGGTGGCAAGGTGCTCCACAATTTGTTGTTGGCGGATGCTAACCTCAGTGAGCCGTTGGAGAATCTCTTCCATACTGGGAGGGGACCGGGGGCCGTTCACCTGAAGATTATAGAGAAAAAGCAACCAAAATAAATAAATATAATTCTAAATAAATAACTAAATAAATTGTAGGAGCCACAATAAGGAATCCCCAAAACTGGAGGGGAAAGAAAAAAAAAAAAAATTTTTTTATTTTTTTTTTTAAATACTCCTAATAATAATTATGGTGTGGGGTAGGAGATCGCTTATCTGTGATTCTTCTCTGTAATTGCCCGCATTCTCCACCAGATGTCACGGGGAGAAGAATCACACAACAAGTGAGAGCTCAAATAAGTGCCCCGGAGGGTGGTTTATTTACAAAAGGTTTCTTTCAGTGGTGAATTTAGGTTGGTGGCTTGTGTGCTCTTTGTGCTCCTTTCCCAGTGTGACAGTGGATTATTGAAGTGCCTCTGTGGTTCCGGCAGGTTCTCAGCTGCTGTCTGGGAAAATAGAGAGAGAGCGAGTTAGTGCTTGTTCTCCTGGAGAGACTTCTCCCCGTTCTGCTGTGTTGCTGCAGTTTAAATGCAAGCCGGCTGATGGGCTGCAGCTGGGGCCGATCAGTCTGAGTTGAGGGCTTGCAGGTGTTTCTCCTTAGTTTCCTGGGCGACGCTGATGATCCTTTGGGACGCTCGTCACAGTGCATTAACCACTAATTTTAACAGTTTACATGTGTTTTTTGCCACATTACAAACATACAGGGCAAGTTTCACAAACACATTAAACTTTCTAAAGATACAGTGGAACAGGTCTTATGCCTCTGAGGGCACTGAATATATTTGTCTTTCCTGTACTTATTCTTCTGATACACTGAAATGAAATATGTGCCTGCTGCCCATTGGTATCCATAGCTGTGCTGCCTGGCTCTTTTTAAAAAATAAAAATACCAAATACGTAGTAATTATAACAAGTTGTGTTATAGTTGTAAAATAATGGGAGAAATTATCATTGTTGGTACTTCACTAGGGCAGGGTTGTCAAGCTCAGTTCCAGGAGGGCCACAGCTCTATAGAGTTTAGTTTCAACCCTTCTTCAACACACCTATGGTGAGTTGACACCGCATGATTTTCAAAATTGCTGGATCGCTGTTTTCACACTGTGTGATCATATGGGGTAGGATTTAGTTGCTGCTGTGTTCACACCGCATGATGAATCAGTGATATGACGGTACACGTTGAATGACTACACTGGAAACAATCGCTGAGGGTTTCCTCCTGGTGCTTCGGTTTCCCCCACAATCCAGACATGCGCCATAGATAAATTGAGTAAGCTAAATTGTCTTTAGTGCTTGTGTGTGAATGAGTGAGCTTGGGTATTTCCCAGTGATGGGTTGTGGCTGGAAGGGCATCCACTGCGCAAAACATATGCTGGATAAGTTGGGAGTTCATTCCGCTGTGGTGGCGACCCCTGATTAATAAAAGGACTAAGCCAAAAAGAAAATTAATTAATTATAATTTCCTGAGCATTACAAATGAAGATAAGTAATAGAGTTACTGTCTGTTAAACAGGCATGTCCATACAGAGAACAAAATACAAAGCATCACAAAAGTATGTTTTATACAATGTTTTTAATTGCTTACAGGGAAGTGTGCCAAAACATGCAACTAAAATTACACAATACAGTAGAATATTGTGGGCAGACATCCCCAAATAAAATTATTAGAAGCACAAGAAAAATGTATAGTCACACCTTAAATCAGCCCTCATTGCAATCATTGCTTTGATAATAATTAAACTTTACATTTTCTATAAATAGAAATTACAGCCCAGAAAAAAAAAAAAACACACCGCACATTGAAGAGTAACATTTGAGAACAGTGGTAACTGTGCCAGAAAGTTCTAGTGCTGCACAAATAATATTAATAATGTTAAAACGTTTGTCTCTTAGAGATGTACATCGGACAGTAGCTTGAGTTGAGTGTAATCTGAGTTTATTTCAAATTTATTTTCATTAATTAAAACAATACTGTCTGGAAAAATTGTAACAACCTTATCTTTTGTAGATCATCATGTACATTTAGAACACCAAGACATTAAGAACAAATAAAACTATATAAGATTAGTAACAATATAAAGTACAACAACAGAACCATAAATATATTTTAATACAAATTTCTTGTGTTTGTGGTTCATGTTGTTTTTATTACTGTAAAATCATTGTACTCAACCCATGCTCATTCTGATTATGTACACCTGTATACAGTACATTTATAGTAAGCGTGAAATATGTCCCAGGAGCTTCTTTTTTTTGCCGTTTTTGTTTAAGCAAATCTGCCAGAGGCCACTGTGTAAGCTTTTTGAGATCTCAAATTTTTCTTGCAGTCAGCTGGTAAGCGTGAAAAGGAGCGGCATCTTACCAACCGTAGCGTTCGTTTTAAAGACGAATACAGCCTTACATTCATCTAGCTACATAGTTCATGATCTCTAGAAATGTATATAGGGCTACATTTTTAGAATGAGCTTAAAGTACTAGTACTGATAGGACTAGTTGGGGATTTTTGTGCAATGAAAAGCCTTTTAACCTGATCAATACTGCTCGGTGTTTCAGATGTTTTCCTTATCAGTGCAGTGTCGTGAAGAATTAAATCGTTAGTGATTGTATTCTCTTGAGCACATGCAGTTTTATTGTGGGATTGTGGGAAAAGGATTTGAACAGTGAAAGTGACTCAATGCAGTCATTGCACAAGTTTTAATCATACATTAAACTACCAAGTATAATAGCAATGCACAATTAATGTCACATACACGAACATGAACAACAAATTCACTTCACACTATTAAATGATTGTTTTAAGAACATGCAAATCTGTATTGTGCATAAATGCATTTTTTTTAAACGTAGATGTTCCCATATACATTTCTAGAAAGTACCAAATAAGTCCCAGGAGGTACTTCTTTTTTGCATTTTTTGGTTTTGCGAATCCACCAGAGGCCACTGTGTACGCGTTTTGAGATTTCAAACTTTACCCGCGAGTCCCATTCCTGCCTGCCTGTCTCACATAAATCCATCAAAGGACGCTGTCATCTGACTGACCAATCACTCTCCTCCTTCCCTAAACCCAACTGATAGTGTTTTCAAACACACCGTTAACCAGCCCATCTGCTTCCCTTACCCTTGATTTTTACCATGTTTTCAGATTTTACCTCATTCTCAACCTGTTATTTACTTGTTTATTTTATTTTTGGCCTATTGCTTCTGTCTTACCTGCTTTCTGGAACCATTCTTTGCCAAACTCAAACCCCTGTTGTCGCGGTCAACTCTTCTCTGTATCTTAAGTCCACCAATGTACGCGGCGAGCCACTGGACAAACTGGTAACAGCAAAAAAGCCTTCCATACAGAGGTAAGCGATCAGCTGGCAAGAGCAAAAAGGAACAGCATCATACTGCCCCGTAGCATTTATTTTAAAGACAAAATGCAACCATACGTACCTCTGGCTACATAATTTGCGATTTCCAGAAATGTAAATAGGGCTACGTTCTTAGAATGAGCCTATATTGCAACAATGAATTCATTGCACAGGCCAGTTTTTTTTCTTTTCTGTACAGCCCTTCCGCTACAATAAATTATCCATTGTCTTTCTACATGTAGATGAGGAAGTGTGTTTTACCAAAATCTCTTCCTGGCAACGTCTACTCACTTGGCAGCCATATTTGCATAACCAGTCAGCTCACCCAAGAATGTTCTACCAAGATAAATAAAAGAATTCTGATCTCAAAAATTGTTCACTGAACACTTAACTAATTAACAAAATAAATTAGTTAACATAATCAGAAAAAAAGAAACTCATAAAGGTTGGAAACATGTAAACAGTAAATGATGACATGTCCAATTATATCTCTTTAATTTAGCTTAATTTTTTACCTGCTTTCATGCAACTGAGTCAGGGCTAAATTCAGTCAGGATATCTTGAAAATCCCAGCTTATTCCCTTATCTTGCTTTTGTGCAATACCCCTTAGCTGTGACCAGCGATGGGCAGTTTTCCACATGACAACCATTATACTTTTAGCCACATCATCTAGATGTGCACAAAATCTTGCTTTAGATAATAAATCAACACTTTTTACCAATTTGTTAAGCTCACAAACATTAATTCATTCATTTTTTTTTCAGCTTAGTTCCTTTATTAATCTGGGGTCGCCACAGCGGAATGAACCGCCAACTTATCCACTATATGTTTTACGTAGTGGATGCCCTTCCAGCTGCAAACCATAACTGGGAAACATCCATACATACTCGATCACACACATACACTATGGCCAATTTTAGCTTAGGGATAGGGACTTGTGGGGGAAACCGGAACATACCAACTCCAAACAGAAATGCCAACAGACTCAGCCGGGGCTCGAAATAGTGACCGTCTTGCTGTGAGGCGATAGTGCAACCCACTACGCCGCAGTACTGCCCTGAGCATACAAACAATTTTGAGAATACTTAATTTTGGGTTCCCAGTACTGGATTGTGGCTGAAAGGGTAAAACATATGCTGGATCAGTTGGCGGTTCATTCTGCTGTGGAAACCCCTGATGAATAAAGGGACTAAGCTGAAGGAAAATGAATGACAGAATTTTGGGTAAACCCAAATTTAAGCTGTTTACATTTGTGTTGTTTTTTGACAAATTTTATTATTTGTTTATTTATTGTAATCTGTGCCACACAGAGGTAAACTGCAAAAGAACATACACACAAGGCATTTTATCAAGAATGTCAGATTATTATATTTGGTAGAATGTCAGATTATAAAATAAGCCACTTGTGATTTTAACCCCTTAATTGTCACTGTTCCAGAGAGGTTTTTAAAACAGTAACATAAGGCCAATGACGGTGTACTGTCAATCACTGGTCACAGAACTCATAAATCCACCATAAAAAACATTTGTAATAAAACACCATAAAACACAAACAATGAACTTTCAATCACTGGGTGACGCATGCTCATAAATTTTAGACACAATTCAGACTACTGATAAAAAACACTTCTGTTAAAATCACGTACATTAACAAGGGACATTTGCACATTTATATATAGTCATTCTAAAGTGAACCATGAAGGTAAGAGTGGGTAAAGGATAGAAAGTAGGGAACAGAAAACAAATGTGAAGGAAGGTGAGGACAGAAAGCTTTCCTGCAGCTTCACTTTGTGTGAGTTTGTCTTGTTAATATGTGAAGAGTTGAAGGCATCTGAGATTGCTTGCAGTCTTACAATACAAGAACAACAATAACAAAAAGCATAATATAAGATGTCATTCACAGCATACATTATGACAGGCGAATGTCTATAGTTCTTCACTTTCATAAAGAGGGGCAGTGTGCTGAACAAGAGGGTCAAGGCACAGTGTGGAAAACTGGTTTACGATGGGAAGGTTTTTGAGTGGCCTAGCAGGATGGGTTGTCTTGTTCAATCGCGCTAGAAGAAAAGGGGTAATTGTTGTTTAAAGTTGAAATTACATCAGAATTCATAGTATTTTTTTAATATAAAATAATAGAGATGATTTATCCAAGCACACAATGAATCAAACTTTAATCAAAATAAATTTGTGTGCATATTTCAATGGCAGCTTTTTTCAAATGTATCCATATACTATAAGGTCAAACAACAGATGTTTTGTATATTTTAATAAACTTTAAAATAAGCGGTTTGTTTACAAATCTAGAAGTCATGTCTCCATCGTAATTTATGTGATGAAGAGCTGTGGTAATGTGATACAACAAACAATTCTCAAAACATAAAAAAAGGTAAACACATTAAGTGTACTTACTGGCTACGTCAAGCCTGGCATTGCACGTGGACATTCCTGCTTCATTAATAGCAGATACAGTATACCAGCCAGCATCAGACTTCATCACTGGGTTAATGACCAGGCACTGCTTTCCTGAACTGTCCTGAGAAAGACTGACACACCAAACAAACAAATCATATCCAAATAAAAAAAAATTAATTCTTTAAAAATTTATTCTAGCACACACACAAAATTTATTTTATTTTTTTTATGTTTTGGACTGAAAGCATATTCAAGCAAATCACAACTTTTGGCACACTCTGATCTCGTACCATATATACTTGTAGACTGCAAGGTCTGTGACATTGTTTACATGGTAATTGCATACATTTTATTTTTCAGGTAATCAAATCCTTGAATTTGATTGTACATTTTTTTTTTGCAGGGATTCTGATTAATGTAAGTATGTAATGTCTAAATAAACAAGAAATAATGAAAAAAAAAATTGTGTATACAAATGAGATTCAGCATGCCTGTGTGCTGCTGCTAGAAGTCAACCAACTCCTCTCAGACTTTTTTTCAGCATGTCTCTCTCATTTAAGCCTTCCACAATTTACAACTGGATTACATTTCAGACCTTAAACACTGCATAAACAAATGCTACAATAGACTTTGCTCCATGGATGCTCTCAAAAGACAAAAAACACACACATTGTGCTCAGCCACTTCATTTAATTATTTTCCATTACCCACATCATCGACCCCTCCCTATGCTGTACTGAGGCAAGGGACAAACTTACATCCATAAACAAAATTGGACTGTAAGTAAAAAAAATAAAATAAAAAAATGTCCCTAAGCTAGCAACCATTAGGTCGATCAGCTTGAAATTTGGTATGCTATGTCTTTGTCCATGGAGACATCACATCATGGCTTCCATTAGCCAATTAAAATTTGAGAACCTAATAAACAAGGTTAATGACTGCCAATCGGAATGAAACTCGATGCATGTATGATGCATGGTTTTAGAGGCTTGTAAAAAAGTCACCACTAGTGGTAGTTTTTCATGTGTTGTAGTGTTTACCGGTTGCATACTACCCAACATTTCGCAAAGCCACACAAAATACATAATGTATGTTAGGCCTACTTATACTGAGCACTTTGACAACTGCTGTCACTCAAACTGTTTATAAAAATGTATTAATGTTTGAAAAATCTACTAGAAAAATCTAGTCCGTTTTTTTTTTTAATCAATCGCCAAAAAACAGCATTGTAAGATCTCTAGACTGCCTAGATCAATAATAATAAAAAAACTTAAACTTTCCACTTTGAATAGCTGTAACAAGGTGTTTGTTTACGTGCTCCTACATGCATTTTAAAAAAATGAACAATAAATACCTCATTCTCGTATGGTCAATACGCAGCATTTCTTTGTCTTTCTTCCAGTATAGCTGAGGGCTTGGAGATGCATTCACTTTACATTCTAACCTAACAGCATCACCCTCCATTGCATGTGAGTTCTTCATCTTCACTACAAATGTAGGAGGACATAATTGTTCCTGAGCTGAGGAAATACAGTGAACAATTTGATTTGTATTAGAATCATCAAGAAACCATTGTAACATTTATTGCAGCATGTTTGCAAAATGACAAAATCTGTTAATTTTCTAAAAATACTTTCGCAAGGCAATTGAAAGAAATAAAGAAAATAAACACAAATAAACAAATGCATTGTTTAGTCATGCGTAATCATTCTAAACAGAATACTGATTGGGAAAAAAACTGTTTACCAATCACATCCAAATGTAGGGAGAATTGGCTCTGTCCAGCACGGTTCTTTGCAATACATTCATATAAACCCGCATGATGAATGGTTACAATCTCAATAATGAAGGAGTGGACACTTTTCTCACACACCAGCATCTTATGATAGTCATCAGGTCGAATGGGTTTCCCATCCAGATACCAAGATATATCTGGGGTTGGCAAACCTACAACCTGCAGAAAAAAGAAGAAAAGCAAAAATGCTATATTATATATTTCTATATATTAAAAAAACTACATTTTTAGGCAAATAAATAAAAAATGTACTCAAGGACATATACTTATAAGAGCAGGAACGTTGCAGTGAGATGTTGCATATCTTGCAAACACTGCAGTTAAGATATATGCATAGAGGTTATATTATTATATTAGTAAAAAGAATGATAACTGCCTTAAAATCAATCCTGCAGAATCGTCCCTCTTCAACAGTAACATCTTGAGGCACTTGTATAAAACGAGGAGCAAAACATTTCTCTTGGATGGTAGAGGCTTCTGTACTGTCCCCCCCTGATCGTTTTTTTCTTGACCTACACAAGAAAAAATGGAAATAAGTGAATGAAACCAAAAAATAAAATCTAATTTACTTAATCAAAATGACAAATATACCAATATCTTGCTTATATCTGAACTATTTTATATGCTTAGCTTAGATACACATTTTGAGTTTTCAAAATTATTTACCCCCTTAACAGGAGATTGTTAATCTGCACTCTATTGCTTTTCTTATAGTTTTGAATTTGAAAGACTAAATTTCATTCATTCATTTATTTTCTTTTCGGCTTAGTCCCTTTATTAATCTGGGGTTGCCACAGCAGAATGAATCGCCAACTTATCCTGCACGTTTTATGCAGCGGATGCTATTTCAGCTGCAACCCATCTCTGGAAACATCCATTCACACTCATACACAATGGACAATTTAGCCTACTCAATTAACCTGTACCGCATGTCTTTGGACTTGGGGAATCCGGAGCACCCAGAGGAAACCAACGCGAACACAGAGAGAACATGCAAACTCCACACAGAAACGCCAACTGACCCAGACGAAGCTTGAATCAGTGACCTTGTTTTGAGGCGACAGCACTACCTACTGCGCCACCGCGTCACCCTGGAAGCAAATTTTTTAAACTGAAATATTTATAAACTAAAACAATCCTTTTTGAATATTATACATCATATTTTTTAACAAAACTGAATATTTTGGAAGTGAATTCTGGAAGGTGAATATGAAGTATTGAGTTTAGTTTTTGAAAATGTGTGTGAAATCCTTTTAGCTGAAATATTCACAGCTTAAATAAAAAGCTATGTTAAACTTCAGGACCTTAAAATACAAATCCTGGCAATTCAAGTCCTTAAAATGCAAACACTTGTTAATTCAATGCATTGTTTTAAACTTGTAAACATGAAAATTTCAAGTTTACATTTTGGTCAAATCAGTCCATAAAACATTTCTGTTTTTATTGCATAGTTTCTGAAATAAAATAAAACACAACAAAACAATCATCTATAGCTTTTGTGAAATATTTTGATTTGGCTAAATCTGCTCAGCTTTATACAGGTCATTAAATCTTGATTACAGTGTATCCAAACATATCTTGTAACACAGTTGTGTACCATGCCATAAAAATTCAAACATACACAATGAATATATAAAACAATTATGACATGAAAAAAAGAGGGGGGGGGGGGGACCAAAACCAATAATAATACTATTATTATATTATTATTATTATTTTAGTAATAAAATTCAATTTGATCACAACTTTATTTAATCTGCAACTAAACTGTTAGAGATGCATTTATTTGTCATAAAATCAATGAAAAGTCTTTCTCTCTCTCTCTTTCTCTCTCATGTATGTATATATAAGTTTTTGTTCAAAAGTAAATAAAATCACAGAAATAATAATTTCAGGCAGTTACTGAAGATAAAAGTGTCTTTCTCAGCTAGTACCATCAAAAGTCAAGCACATTCACAAATGACATCACTGCAAAAAATGCTTTTCTTACTTGGATTTTTTTGTCTTGTTTCTAGTCCAAATATCTAACAACCCTTAAATCAAGAAGAATTTTCTAGACAAGCAAAACATTTTATCTTGTTTTCAGAAATAATATGCCAAAATGAAGCAAGTTTTTCCTTGACCCTTTGATGCACTATAAATGGGTCTAAAGTGTCCCGTCTAAGCTTATTTTTTCTATATCTATTTTATAGCTTGTGCATCAAAGGGTTAAAACAAGCAAAATAATCTGCCAAAGGGGTAAGAAAAATAATCTTAATTCAAATGAAAAAAAAAAGATTATTTTTCATACCCCAATGGCAGATTATGTAACTTGTTTTAAACGAAAAAAAATAAATAAATAAAAATCACTTAATATTGGCATATTATTTCTAAAAACAAGACATTATGATTTGCATACCTAGAAAATGCTTCTTGATATATGAATTTTTAGATATTTGGACTAAAAACAAGACAAATAAATCTAAGTGAGAAAAGCATTTTTGAAGTGCAGGCAGATATCCAGAACATAAACATGCACAACAAAAGCAAATTAAGTTTTACCATATTCCTCCAGGGTACTGATCTTCTGGAGACCCTGGCTGTTAGGGAATAGAATAGAATAGAATAGAATAGAATAGAATAGAATAGAATAGAATAGAATAGAATAGAATAGAATAGGGAACTTAGACATTGAAGTGTATGTTTACATATTCATCATCATACTATTGATATAGTAGTAATAAGGTAACTGATAAGCAAAATAAAATTGCACAAGCCATTTCAGGCCAATGGAAGGGCTGTTTATCTATTTGGACTTATGTTTCGAAAAACTGCTGAAGACCACTAGAGTAATAATAAGAATTGTTATTAAATAAATTTGCTTAATAAACTGCTCCTCTTGAATGCCATTTTTAGCTTTACTTCTGGCATTACAAGATAATATCAACAACATAATATCAGTGCATTCTTTAATGCATCCTGAAGTCATGTTTGTTCTTGTGCTGTACACCTTGTCAGTTTAGTTTAGTCTAGCTGGAGCTGCATTCATTCTTGTTCTGTGTCACATGGCTTGTCCTTTTCTGTGTGTTGAATTTGTTAGCTTAACCTTCTGTTGTAATAACATCTCATCAAATGAAACAATGGATGACCATGCTACAACCTGGCTTACTGAGCAAAAGATGATTTTCTTCTGAAGCTCTTTTGTAAATGGGATTATTAAAGGTGCATTATGTAAGTTTGAATTAGCTCACCTCAATTAAACTTTAGAACTGTGACAACTGTGAACTTGTGCAAGCCAACACATATCAGTGGTTTATTATATACATTTAAATAATGTTAAAAATGTTCAATATATATTAATTAGGTTATAAACCTTACCATTTTCTTTGAAGTGCAGTAAGTGCACTATTCTGTGCTTCTGAATGACTGTTTTTAAATTTCTGATGTGTTTCGTCTGGTGCAAACAACCAAATCGCTTATCACTGCGTATCTTCTTACCTAGCATGTTGTTAGGACTCACCTAATGTTTATGTTTGTATTATTTATATAATTTGCTCATTAATATCCAGCTCATGTGGAACTCTAAATCTATGTCTAATTTCAGAGTCTGCTACATACCTGTCAACATCGGTATGTGAAAATAAGGTATTTGCCCACCATAATAAGGGATTTCCCCGAATGTATTTATTTATATATTTAGATTTTTTTCATTTGATTACATTAAATAATAGCTGCCACTTTAAAATGCACAGATCTAACATTATAATGCAACCATTCGATTGCTTTCCTAACTTTTTATGCTCATTTGGGAAGAAATTAGTTTGAAAAATAAAAACCAACCAAGATCGACATCTTTAGATATTATTATTAATTATGTGTATATGTCAGTTTAAACCAGGGGTCACCAATCTCGGTCCTGGAGGGCCGGTGTCCCTGCAGGGTTTAGCTCCAACTTGCCTTAACACACCTGCCTGGATGTTTCAAGTACACCAAGTAAGACCTTGATTAGCTTGTTCAGGTGTGTTTGATTAAGGTTGGAGCTAAAATCTGCAGGACAGCGGCCCTCTAGGAACAAGTTTGGTTTAAACACACACCTAAACCCTGGGATTTCACTTCGCTTCAAACTGCGTGTACAGAATGCGTTTGGGAAAAAGCGCCTGTTTATCACTATGGAGCACGTCAGCTGACAGTCATGCATTTTGAGGATTTCATATGAAGGGGAGACGGAACCTGTAGTGAAAAGGAGAGAGAATCCTTCCGTTGTGATATTTATTTCAAAGTGTTTTCATGCCTAATCAAAGTGAAAGCACCGAACAAACTCACATTTAAGAGTGAGGGGTGGCCCCTAGTGGTTTGGTGGTATAGTTAAGCTCAGGTCTTCAATGTTTATTGCCACCCTTCAGAGAAAGACTGAAAATATGGCAGAAATACGGGAAAATACCTATACGGGATGATAGCGGGATAGAACTGTAAAATACGGGAGAATCCCGGGTAAAGCGGGAGGGTTAATAGGTATGGTCTGCTACTTTGAGAGCCTTCATGACTGAATGAATGAAATGGCAACCCAGGGAGCTGAAATATAATTGGCAAAACTGGCATTGGGTGGGTTAAATTACGTCGACACCCCCCCCCCCCCTAAAAAAAAAAAAAAGACAGACATTCCCGCATGTAATGGACATTTTCAAAGCAAAATATGACTTTAGCATTGTTTTTCAGATAAAAAAGATTGTTTACTTAGCATGTTTCTTAAATATCTACAAACATATTAGATATATTTGAAACATTAAACAGAATGTAAATATTTTTCAATTATCTAATGATTTGATGATAAAATGATTCATCATAACATTTTCCTCAAATTTAGTTTGTTAGAGTAACTCTAACCCTTTTTTATTGAGATAATCTTTAACAACAAAATTCCACAGCATCAAAACTAATTTCAATAAAGTAAATTATTATAATTAAGTATTATTATAAAACAAATGGTCAAAAAGAGTTTATTATGGGAAAACCAATTAGTTATCCAATTACAGCAATATAGGCAAATCGTTCGAATGGGTATTAGTGGACTGTGTTGGATCACTTTCGCGTATGAAAACGGGATATCAGTATCTTTTGACTTTAATGTATTCGGCCACACGCTTCCCAGAGGTGGTCCAGTTGTGTAAAATTACAGCGAATACAGTTAATAAAGCCCTGTTCAAATTTTTTACTACATGTGGACTTCCCAAAATAGTTAAAATTGACCAAGGATCTAATTTTCTTTCAAAGGTTTTCCAAAAAACATTACTGGGTTTGGGTATTTTGCGTGTTGTATCTACCGCATACCACCCAGAGTCCCATGGGACTCTGCAACACTGGCATCACACTCTGAAATCTACATTACCAAAGTACTGCTTTGAAACCAAGAATGATTGGCATGATGGTGTTCCATTTGTGCTCGTTGCTCTTCATGATGCGAAGCAGAAATCTTTGGGATTTAGCCCTGTAGAATTTTTTGCCATGATGTACAGGTTCTTTAAAGGTTTTAAGAGATCAGATTCTTGTAGTGATCTCGTACCAAAAAGTAATATTTTCAAGTAAACATTAAGTTACTGCAAAGGTGGTACTTAGTCACTTACAAGAAAAGATTAAGTGGCGGTATGATAAGAAAGCAGTGCCGTAAACCTTTAAGCTGAGTAAAAAGGTCTTGGCATTACTGCCTTTACCAGATTCCTCTCTTGCAGTGTAGTTTTTGGGGGCCTTATATAGTGAGAAGTCAAGTAAGCGAAACTGACTACATCATTAAAACTTCAGACGGTCGGAGGAAAACGATGTGAATATATTAAAAACATATTCTGAGAGATCCAGTAAACCTGCAGAAACTAATGTTTCAGAGGAGTAAAAGATCTTATTTATAGTGCATTCACTATTCATCTTTCTGTCATTATCACTTTTTCTGCAAAGACCATTAATATGACCTTTCCACATGTTACAGCTGAATCTTTAAATCAGCAGTCATCATCATTATGATTAGTTTTCCTACATCACTTGCATTTATTAGCAGTCTTACTTTTGACCAATGAGAATGCATTTACCATCACTGATCCACTGGTTTGGTGCACTTTGCGAGCTGCTGTTTTCATGAAAGCCGCCAGTTACACCACTCTTTGAAATGTTAACATATTCTCAGTGAGCAGACACTTTTGTGTAACCTTACTCTTTAAACCACAAAAAAATCTTTCACAGTGCATCATCTAAATGTGCCCCAAATTCTCAACATTCTGACAGTCCACAACATTGTGTTACCATTTCGTTCACTTCCTGATTCCTGCTGTGGAAATGAAATTGCTCAAACATGACTAGTGGCTGTAATTGTTGCTGTAGCGTAGCTGTGATATGCTTGAAACTTTTCTCTCCTAGCTTGTGAAGGAGTCAATAAGTCTTTCCCCCCAGTAATGCTGAGTAACATAGGTACTTTTTTGTCAGCAGCGATGATGTTATAATCTACAAAATGCATCATTAAAAGCTTCCATACAGCAAAAAGCAAACACCATTGTAGATAACCTAATTCATTGTAGCTACAGGGAAGGAAAATCCTAGTGTGCCTAGTTTTTCATGGCTGATTGTGGTAGATCCATGGTCATTTTTCATCCTCATCACCAAAATGTTATTTGTCAATGTCAAAACACAGTGTAAGAACAGATGAAATGATGGCAACCAACATTTACAGATAACAATGTTTTAAAATATTGTAAACTAGTGGTCTAAAAACTCAATTCAGCTCTGAAGATTTAAGTTCCAACTACCTCAAACTCTAGGTACTCTAGTACTCTAGGGTTTTAATTAGGGTTGGAGCAAAACTGTGCAGAGCTGTGGCCCTCCAGGAATCGAGTTTGAGACCTATGCTGTAAACAAAAGATTATAAGGCTATGTATTTTGTGCTGATGTATGGTATTTCTAAATGGTAATGAAGTGTTGCAATAGATTTGTTTCTTACAATGTAAAAATAAATAAATAAATAAAAACGTGACCACAGAACCGTGATATAAACTGACAATTTTGTGAACTGTCCCATCCCTAGTATGAATACAATTTATAGTATTTCAAACAGACCATTGTTTTATATTGAATTGCACAGAAACTTTGAAAAGCAAATAAATGAAACCTCAAATAAATAAAAGAGATAATACCTGTGCAGGCTGTGAACTGAAGGAATTTTCGAGATGAAAAACTGAAGCTGCATTATCAGCACCCAGCAATCTTCTGGCCATCCGTTCCTCATAAGAAATCTTCTGCTGTGGGGGAAAATGATTTCTTAAATGTTCAGTACAGAACTTTATTACCAATAAACAGACAACAAATTTAGACAAATTTGTTTTATACCTGATTGTTTCTTTGTTGGGGAACTTTGTTTCGTAGCTTCTGTTCAAGGTCTTGCATAAGAGCATCTTTAGAGCCCTGAATGTCTTCATCTGTGGCACGAGACACTGGTCGTGAAACATTCTTCTTCAAGATTGGTTTTGGCAACCTATGAAACAGATTTTAAAAACAAATTTTAAGCATCAGTTTTCCAGGCATTTAAGTGCAGAATGCTAACCCTTGAGGGGTATTGCACAAAAGTGGAAAGACAGAATAATGGAAAAAAAACACAGTGTAACCTAGTTTAATCTGCTCTTCTTGGCTTAGTCTGTTGCATGCTTTCTGGTCCAGGACAAGAATTTGCAGCTATGTCAAGCCCATTGTTCGTAGCAAAGATGAGTGCAAGTTCATGGCATTAGTTAACAAATCACGAGATTGATCACAGATAGAATAATGCAATTATGGGTAAAACCCGATATGAGCCAGTAATGGGTTTAAAACTCTTACACCGACTGATCTGGAAACTTTCACTAATCAGGGAACTCCCATTACTTTCATTCAGAAACATATGAGGTAAAACTTATTGACACACACACACACACACACACACACACACACACACACACACACACACACACACAAACACACACACACATACACACACACATATACAGTTGAAGTCAGAATTATTAGCCCTCTTCGAGTTTTTTTCTTCTTTTTAAAAATATTTCCCAAATGATGTTTAACAGAGCAAGCAAATTTTCACAGTATGTCTGATAATATTTAAAAAGTCTTATTTGTTTTATTTGTTTTATTTTGGCTAAAATAAAAGCAGTTTTTAATTTTTTAAACACCATTGTAGGGACAAAATTATTAGCCTCTTTAAGCTATATTTTTTCTCGATAGTCTACAGAACCAACCATCATTATACAATAACTTGCCTAATTACCCAAACCAGCCTAGTTAACCTAATTAACCTAGTTAAGCCTTTAAATGTCACTTTAAGCTGTATAGATGCGTCTTAAAAATATCTAGTAAAGTATTATTTACAGTCATCATAGTAAAGATACACTCTTACACTGTGGTCAATTTAGTTAATCCAATTCACCTGTACCGCATGTCTTTGGACTGTGGGGGAAACCGTGTACTCCAACTGACCCAACACGGACTCGAACCAGCGACCTTCTTGCTGTGAGGCAACAGTGCTAACTACTATACAATTTTGGATTGGGATGCTTTAAAACAATATATTTGTGAATGTCAAAAAGTTGACATTTTGTAGTTTGCAATAATTATTTATTTTTTTTTTTTGCATTAACTCATTTGAATTTAAATGTATTTTCCCCTTTCCTAAAGTTGTTAGATGAACAAACACATATTCTAATGAATATAATGATTTAACAAAACTGTTTTGTTTAAATGCACCAATAATTATGTGCTATACTCACTGAAAAATAGATAAAATATTCATTTTTAAAAGATGTGTAGTGTACTCATTCTGAGCACTGTATTTTTTCTCTAATCATTCATCTATCCCCCCCCCTCTCTCTCTCTCTCTTTCTCTCTTTCTCTTACTATCAATCTGTGTACACACACACACACACACACACACACACACACACACACACACACACACACACACACACACACACAAAACAGCCATATGTGAACATATATAAAATTCTTGCTAATACAATAAATTTCATTTTTTGTAATTCTAATAGTTGGGAAAAATGTAAATGGCCAAGCGCATGCAGTGACTGTAAAACATATACAGTTCTAGTAGCATCGACAATAAAACAAATAAATCACTAGAATTAATGACCCAGATTATTCCCTTATCTTTCTTTTGTGCAATACCCCTCTGGAGCCTGTTCCATAAATTTTTTTTGGTAAGTGAGGCAGATTCTGTTTTCTAAATCAAATTTACGATAGTTCAAACTAAGTTACTCTGGCAACTTATGCTTAAAAGCAAGCCTGTTCCAGGGCAGGCTAAATGTCAAACTAAGTCTTAGTTCTTCCATCAGAGTAATGTTAACATTTACCTGCCAGAAAATTGATGTTATTTTATTTCACTTAACTGCAAAATTGTTGGCATCCCTGAAATTCTTCCAGACAATCAAGTATTGCTCAAAACAAAAAAGAGGGAAAAAGCTAATTTCACATAATGTTACACACTCCAAAAAATGGCTGGACAAAAGCTAATTTTTTGTTGCACTCCCTTTGAAAAAAAAAAAAGACATTACACCTCTCACCCAAAATTTTGGACCACTCTTCCTTTGAAAACTGATCCAGGTCTCATTTTTGGAAGGGCGCCATTTCCCAACAGCCATTTTAAGATCTCTCCACAGGTGTTCAATGGTATTTAGATCTGGACTCATTGCTTGCCAGTTCGGAACTTTTTTGACTTTTGTTACTATCCATTTCTTTGTGCTTTTATAAGCATGTTTGGGGCCATTATGCTGCTAAGGGACCCAATATCTCGAAAGCAAACCCAGCTTACTGACACTGGGCCATACACTGCAACCCAAAATCCGTTGGCAATCCTCAGATTTCATGAGCCTTGCTCACAATCAAGGCACCCAGTAACAGAGGCAGCGAAACAACTCCAAAATATCTTTGAACCGCCACCATTTTTGACTGTAGGTGCTGTGTTTATTTCTTTGTAGGCCTCTTTTCGTATATATATATATAGACTATATATATAAATATAAGTCTATATATATTTATGTCTATGCAAGCCCTAATATATATATATATATATATATATATATATATATATATATATATATATATATATATATATATATATATATATATATATATATATATACTGCAGGTATATATATTAGAGCTGCACGATTCTGGCTAAAATGAGACGATTTTTTAGCCTAAAATAAAGATCCCGATTTTCTCATGATTCTGTAGATGTAGATAGGCTATTATTATTGTTATTCTCAAACATGTTTTAAAAAAGCAATAGGCTTCGTGTAGCTGTACTGTTGGTTAAAATGTTAAATTTGGATAGACTTGGAATGGTGGACTTGAACAGACTTTAGGTTTGTCCAGGTCATTAATGCTGATGATAATTCTGATGTTGAATTATTGTGTTTGAGACACATGCTTACTATGTGTCATTTTCTGCTTAAAACCTGTCACTGATGTGATTTTTGTGAATACATAAGACTGGGTGGGTTTTTGCATTTCGGTGGGTTTTGGATACTTTTTGGGCTGGAATCAGTCTGCTTCATCTCCCAACACTGTGTACGCTTTCGGTTTCATTATCACTGCTAAGAGCGGTTCACTTCCAAAACGATGTGCAACAACCTGAATGTTATTTACAACTTTATTACCTGTTTATCACAGCATATCCAGGTTCTGTTCACTAAAGTCGACTTCATTAGTTCATTTAGAGGTGCGCGGCTACTGCCCTCTCTGTAGTAACAGCTGACAGTCAGCTCACGTCACGTGTGATTTTGCGGTCGCAAATATATTACATGAAAACAGAAATTACAATTTTTGAGGTGAATTATATCTTATAAATACAGCATGTGACTCTTTCTACACCATTTGGAGGTGTCCACGTTGCTGAACAACGTATGTAAAACAATGTGAAGACTTGTGCGGCCACCATTGCTTCTCTCCTTAACTTGAAAATATGATTGACAGAATTGTAGAAATGCTGGATTAAGATCGTCTAGGGGGTCAAATCGAGATCGCAATCTTTTTACAATTAAATGTGCAGCTCTAATATCTATATATACAGCAGTTCTGTCTGGTTTTCAAATCCGATTGGCTGATCTGCAATGTCAGCACTCTGTCAAACAAATTACTAAAGAACAGGTAAGTGACATTCTAAGTCAATCTCCGTTTTTATCATGTTGTTTTTATACCATAGTAATCTAGTTGTGTTTGCTTTGCTTTGGCCTTCTCTGGATTCATTTTTGTAAAATCCCGATTGCAGCTAAGAAATATTAAAAAATCTCTGTAAAACAGGGGTCTCAAACTGCCAGCCTGTGGGCCACTTGCAGACTCCCCCCCCCTTCCTTCCAGCCCGCAACTAACTAAAACAATATAACGAGATTCGCCCCTCCAAAACATATTTTTGAATTATTATCATTGTTGTGCAGTCGTATATAGCCATATGCGGCTTTGACCCCCCACCTATTGGACATTTAAAGTACTGCACTGTATACATAAGTTTCAGTTTTACTTTCAGTATCTCTCAGTTTTACTTGAAGTACATCATTTTGGAGGCTGCTGTTGTCCTCCACAGGTTGCAATTTTGGCCATGGCCGCATAAATGCAATCTTTAAGACTAAAATGAAATATGTTGTGTTTCCACCAAGTCAACTCGGGATGCTAAAATATAATTGGTTATTGAGTGGATTATAGAGACTAAAGCAATTGGGTGGATTACAGAGACCAAAACAAAGACAGACACTCTGGCACAGAACACACATTTTTATGGTAGAATAACTTGATTCCTAAAAATCTACTTGTAATGAATTTCTCCCTTTGATATCTACAATCACACCAGTGTGATTAAAACATCAGCTGCTAAATGCGAATCTTCAAAAATGCAAATATATTCCAATGCTAAAAAATTTATTAAATATCTATATTTTTTTCATATATTGAAACTTCAAAAAGGGTATATTTAACTTTTTTTTCGGGTGTATCAAACTTCTAATGTTTTCTTTATAAATAACTTCTAATGCAAACTACAAAATAAAACACAAATCAATAAGACAAATTAATGCAAATTAGGATTGCATTATTATAAAAAATAATAGTAGCAGCCTTTCATAAATCACAGCAGGACCATTCATCTATTGCTGTGATTAACAGCAAACAAATTCAAGAGCCAACTGATACCTTTTAGGTATATGTACTTTTGGCAAAAACATCTTACATGGATCTCTTTTTAAAACACATTTCAAACAATTACATTGTACTCTAAGTACTATAAGTATGAAAATGATAATGTTTTAATGTAATGAAACATGACAAATCATACGTGTGTACGAACGTACTTAAATACGCACTTGTTTAACTACAGCCAGAAATAAAAGAAAACAAATAATCTTAATAATTATCTTTTAGACATCCAATCAGGTACCTAATGTGCTAATTGAAAACATCAATACACAAACTGAGACCAAATGTTAGATTAGATCATACCTTACTGCTCATACGCATAATAATAAAAAATAATAAAAGGTTTTGCATTGATATGATTGTGCACCCATTTTTTGCTGTTTGCTTGTTTCATAAATAAAGCCCACTGATTTTACATTTAAAGTTGTCTCCCAGACATGGGTTGCGACTGGAAGCGCATCCGCTGCGTAAAACATATGATGGGTAAGTTGGCGCTTCATTCTACTGTAATGACCCCAGAATAATAAAGGGACTAATTCGAAAAGAAAATGAATGAATGAATGAATGAATGAATGAATATCAGTAATGTGGCTACTCGTGTGGCCTTTAGACAATTACATTTGTGATAGAGTTCAGACCTTCTAAAGGGTCTGGTTGTACCATATCATACGTAACATTGTTTTAGAGTAGTCATTTGAGTGATAATACTTACATGTTGGATGTATATGTAATATGGGGCACAGGTGAAGACTGCAGAGATCGAGCTGTAGTTTTCAATGTATCTGGAGGTATCCGGGCAGGGAGATTCCGTAACTGATTTGAAGGAGATAGGGGTGGTTCTTGGACCTTTTGTGTTGGGCTGGGTGATCTAGAGGAGTGCCTGGGTGATTGAGGTATGGAAAGGCATTTTGACTGGCAGCTTGGAGGTGAAGGCAGGACTGATGATAGGAAAGCTGCTGGTGATAGATTCTCACTGTTTGGAGTACTCCTTGCTTTAGGAATCAAAGTCATGCTGGAACACATTAATGTCTGAGTGGGTGCATGAAGAGTAGGGGTCACTAAGGGTGCAGGAGTTGTAGCTGGAACACAAAGATCATTTGGCTTGCTGGTCTCAGTGTCATGTGTGTGGAAACTGGGCAGGGACTGGATAAAATGGCGAGGGCGCTCATAATTAAAAGCACTTGGAGGGTACAATGATGGTGAAAAGGTGGGCAGGTCAGCCACATTCGTGGCACTGCCCTTGGGTTCTACTTGTTTATTCAGCTTGCTGGTGAGAAGGAATGGATGTGGAACACTGTTTTTAACTCCCTTTGGTGGAGAATCAAGTTTGATCATTGGGGAGAGGTTTGTATCTTCAGCCACCTTACTGACAGAACTCTGTTCGCTGTCAGTGTCTGGGAGAGACTCAACCTTTTTAATGCCAGACTCCAGTACCCTGTTGGAAAGAACATTTAGACTTAGATTACTTATGCCAAGCAAAAAATTCAAAAATGTCACTGATGATATGCAGTCTAGTGACTCCATTCATGAGAGATGTTTAAGAGGGATTTTGCAACGTGACAATGTTTAACAGGTAAAATTTAAAAATACAAGCACACTAAATCATGCTTAAATAATGCATTGAGATATAGACAGCATCACTGATTATGATGAATTTCACTGTGCTTGCTTACATTGTGCCAGAGACAACATACGTTCTCTGACATAACTTTCATTGGAAAACTGGCCTCAAACATTGGTGTGGTTGTCCAATGCCTAGATTCTATGACCACAATGATCTCAAAGTTGAATATGGTACCATGCTAAATATTCCATGCGAAGTGGAATTAAATAGATGGCATGGAATTTACATGCACCTGTAAGAAAACTAAAAAGTAGATTCATCAGAGTACACCAGTAACAGATGAGTAAACCAGCACAGATGTTACAATTTGGCCTCTATTACAACAGGAACAAAAATAGTATGCATACATAATGTATAACACACTACGAGAAAACCATTACATTTCTCTTTACACTATATTTTAAAAGACACTGAATAACAGTCAACCCTATACACCACACACAAACAGTGCTGATTTTCAGAAATAGTCACATAAGACCTTATTTAAAGTACATTTTTTATAATTTATTCAGGTGTTAATAATATTATTAGATAAACAAGTGTTCATAACATTGAATAATGCCGCTGCTGGCGTGTTTCTATGCAAAAGCCATGCTGCTAAAAAAAGTCTTTGGGGTTTTGTCTGACAGACGTGGCAGGTGCAGTTCATTTACGGCTACACTGGCACTGAGTTACCCTCTTTTGGAGGTCATTTTTGAATAAAGAACTGAGCTGACGTAAAATCATTTACTCCACAATGGCACTGTGTTTTTTTTTCTAGTAATAACTGGAAAGAAGTAATTGTATAAACAAGAATGGCATTATTTATAACAATTCTAATTAGCACCTTAAGTTACTCAATTGTGGTCAATGTCCATGATGGTAGTACTGAGCTCCAAAACAGATACAGTTTGGACTGACAGTTTGTGTCAAATTAATACATATTTAATTCATGTATTTCTTGTAAGTAAAGAAGGGCAATGGCTTCACAGAAATGTTTGATTAACTGTTGGTTTACATAAAATTTGAGCCTTTAGCAGGATGAATTATTACATTTTGCAGCCTATATAGACACCTCTGTATCACAACATTAAACGATTTTCATCAAATATTTATGGCACAAACACAGCAATGAGTGAAATGTCAAAAAGCTTCAGTAACAACCATAGTCATATTGTTTGACCCTCTATATGACCTACAGATTGACTAAAAACCTAATTGTTTATAAAACAAATTACACATTTAAATTTACCTGCATATAATAATGGCAAATGCAATGAAATAAACTTCAAAAAAAGAATCAATATATACTATATACATATAAGGAGTTGATAATCTAGATCACAAATATTGTGCTTACCTGCTTTGTAATATGGGTTTCCTGGCCAGTAAGATCAGGTTGATTTAAAAGGTTGAAGGTAGTGTGGTTTGTCTGCCACTTGCCTCTATTTCAACAACAGGAACTATATTTCACTCAATGAGATACTGTTGGGCTGGATATTTATAGAAAACTATGTGAAGGCAGTAGGCACATGCCCCCACCATTCTTAAAGAACCACCCATTCAATTGGTGAATGATCTAAACTTGGCCTTGAATATTTAAAAACTAATCAAGGATCAAGAATTTCTATTGTACTTCATAAAAACCACATTGTGTCAATACTGCTTTACAGAAATAAACAAATAAAGTAGTAAAGTAGCATTAATATGAAATGAGTTCAGTACATCAAGCTGTTTCATTAAAATCAGTTCAACTGTAGAGTGGCTCTATCACCCCCAACTTAGCAAGCTAAATATGGCACTGGCAAGGAATGCTGAGTAAATCTAAGTACGACATACAACATAAATCTCTATTCAAAATGATTAGATTGTTCTAAGCCATTGATCCTTTGGTTTACCGGATATATATTTTGTCTATATTTTAATTGCCACAGCCATATCACCCTGCAGCCCAAGATCGGTTACTCACTAAAGCTAAGCAGGGCTGAGCCTGGTCAGTACCTGGGAGGGAGACCACATGGAAAAACTAGGTTGCTGTTGGAAGTGGCGTTGGAGAGGCCAGCAGGGGGTGCTCAACCTGTGGTCTGTGTGAGTCCTAATGCCCCAGTAAAAGTGAAATGGACACTATACTGTCAGCGGGGCGCTGTCTCTTCACTTCACCAATAGCTGGAGTATGGTGAGCACACTGGCATTGTTGTCTGTGGCTGCCATCGCATCATCTAAATGGATGCTGCACACTGGTGGTGTGGAGAGATCCCCCTCATGGTTATGAAGCGCTTTGGGTGTATGGCCATACACAATAAATGTGCTGTATAAATACACATTACATGCAATTAATAATTGTTTGCATTTCTGTAATCAGTGAATTTACGTTTACTGTGTAACACTGCTAGCTTATTGCAAAAATTTTGCTTTTAAATTTGTTGGATGACAATGTCTGCATTATAGTTTCCTCTTAATATCATCCCAAAGGTGTTCTGTTGGGTTGAGTTCAGAAGTTTGTGCAGGGCACACAGCAAATTCATTGGTGTTAAATTTCAAGTGTTGTGGTAATTCAGAGTAAAGTGTTAAAATTCTGGAGTTAGATAAAGGTAAAATAACCCTCTCGGCGCTAGAAGCTGATTTGCCTCCTTGTCACACAGAGTAACATGGATCTACCTTTGTAGAAAACCCTTGTATTTGAGAAACTAATCAGAGTGTCTGAAATCTCGCCACACCCTCATTCACCTGGCCCATAAATTGGTCAATTAGTTTAGTCCACTAGACAGAGGGAATGACCACAAATAAGTGAATTCAGACACCTGCTGTTGAACACCTGCTGTTAACAAGCACAATCACTAAAGGAATAAGAAATTGAAGGAAGAACTAAAACTACAGAGACAGCCTTACACCAAACCAACTGAATTAAAACAGAGGATTAAACAACTTTTTTAAATAATAGTATAAGCAGCTTCACTGATTACTGTTTGACTTCATTTCTGTAAGAATGTTTGACAATGAACAGAGGTTTATTTTTTTTATTAAAAATATTTCATTTGACCTCACCATCATAGAGATCAGAGGCTGCTTATTTGAGCTCTTGAAGCTTTACTCTTATATTCTAATGTTTCTCTGACTGTTATGGCTGTGTTTCTAAAACTCATCAGCTATAGCAAGAAAGGTCAAGATAAACTATACTGTTTTTGCTTAATTGTTCTAGATATAATATCAGGTGTTAAATAAACTGATTAATAAAAATATGCAAATATGGTTGTATTAAAACTGCAAGGGAAAATACTACTGGCATTCTGCTGCTTTTCATAGAAGATTCAACAAACAATTTGGATGCAATTAATAATTAGCGTGTCATGCACTAAACATTCAAGCTCCAGCATACTTTTTATGACACACAGTCATCAAGAATCAGGATATGAACCTCAACCGTGGTGGCTAAAAAAAAAAAAGCTGCATAGTTCATGCCGCAATGCATGCTGTGTGCCAGCATAGTACAAAGCTCCCAGCATGCATTGCAGCATGAATAAATTATGCAGCTTTATGTTCTTACAATCTCTTTCTTTTCCTTTATTGTGTGTTGTTTTTGGGAGGTGATAGTTCAGTAGTGTTTTTTTTTACTTGATTTTAATTTTTTTGTTTGTCACCATTATTGAGATTCAAAGACTAATTGTTGATGTCTGGGTATTTTTAAGTTCTGCCATAGATCAAACATTCTCATTGTAAATATTGTTTTTATTTTATTGGAGCTTCAGTGGTTTCATTTATGTATATTATTTATTTCTCACACATAACTAATATGATACTGAATTAAAAAACAAGCAGGAAAGGATGGCTATGATATCATAAATAATCTCTTCAAACAGACACTTTAATTTAATTTCGGCTCTTCATGCTATATGTATAAATAGTGTGATTAACACTAACTATAGCAGCAAAAATAAAAGACAATTACAGCAAGAAGTTGACTGGTGACTTCAAATGAACAACAGAAATTTCATTAAGAGCTTTTGTTCACATGACAGAAATAAAGTCAAAGGTCAGTAATAGGTGAAGCTCCATGATAAGTTGTTTAATGTGATATGTTTTTTTTTAAAAGATGTTGAAAAATAACATTTTTTATTGTGTAATTTGTTTTATTTTTATTGATTATTATTTTATGTAGATTTTTTTTTTCTCAGTTGATTTCATCTTTCGTTTTGGCTTGTGTTTTTCTTTCCTTCAGTGATTCTGCTTGTTAACAGTTGTTCATCAACAATTCTCAATCCTCCTTTAATTAGACACTTAATTGTCTCATTAACTAGTTAGGATTTTGCTCTGGAATTTAAGGCTTAAGTGCGTTCGAATAAAAAATACAGACTATGGGATTTGTTTTTAACAGAAATATTCTGGAAACTGAATTTACGAATGTAAAATGTTGAAAACAGCAGATTACTGGCAACCACTGCTGCCAGTATTTTGACATACATTTAACAGATATTTTACACAATAAGAGTTTGCTAATTAACACTCTGGGTGTTAAACATTTTAACACTTTCAAAAGTGTTATTTTAACACTTATAGTGGTTCCCATATAAACTCTGAGGGAGTGTTAATTTTAACTCTAAGGTAGTTAAATCTATTAAACCTAAAATTTGCAGTGTGAGATCGATAAAAAAAATACAGACTGTTGAATGTGTTTTAACAGAAATATTCTGTAAACTGAATTTATGAATGTTAAAAACAGCAGATTACTGGCAACCACAACTGCTGGTATTTTTCTGTAAAATCTAAAAATGAAAAAAAAAAAAAAAAAAAAAAACAGCTAAACGGTTTTTGTGTCACCATTGTGGAGGATAATA